GGTTACAACAATACAATTATTTTCACATAGCTATGAGAAGCGTTAACCATGGACGCACGTGCAGCTGCCGTACTGTATTAAAGCTTTAATCAGAATAAAACCGTATATTCAAAGCAGTAAGCAGTAACATTTACAAATAACAGCACATCTAAAAGTATGAGACAACAACAAACAAAAAACATAGGCCTACCATTAAAAGACGTGCTTGCACAGATTCTGCACTATCCTCTTCAATAATATCCTCTGCTTCTCAATCGGGCTCAAACTGATAAGCGATTAACAAAGCCGTTGTTTACAATACAACCGGAGCACATGCCGCTGAGGTGAGGGGCGGGACGTTTAAACTGCACTAGAGGCGGTTAAGCCAATCACAACACACTGGGCTAGCTAACCAATCAGAGCCCATCGCCTATTTCTGAGGGCGGGGCTTCATAAAAGCAGGAAATGATTAGGGTGTTTCTCAGAGAAGGGACAGAGCGGTGTGGAATAAAGATAAATTATGTGAAAAATAATGCGTTTTTTCAAAAAACGAAGCATTAACACGTTTGACTGCACCCCATAAACACAATCAAGCCTAGAAAAAAACCCAGTGAACCACCCCTTTAATATCACGTATTAATCGTACCTTAAATTATGCTCTCAACCGCATTTCCTTTTTACTGAGGCGTCGACGTCATTACTTGTCATCAGCCAATGAACCCATTTGTGGGCGGGGTGATGCATGTAGGCTTTAGTGTAACCGTAATTCAGTGCTGCAACAAAGACTACATGATGCCTTTAAAAGCAACAGGCGGGCAAATGATGAACATTCAGTTAAATAGCAGCTTGTTTAGTGACAGTAGCCTATGTGAGCACACAGCCAGACCCACCTGAGTGGCAGATATGCTACATGCTTTGTTTACCTTGCTGTGTCACGGGAGTGCAGCAGGTGCGAGTACTGAAAACACAGAATGGAGTTTAATTTATATGGACTCTGAATGAGCCGAGTGGAATGGATTTGAGGAAGCAGCAGCGTGGAATTCAAGGCTGCAGCTAAAATGCAGAATGGAGTTTAATTTATTAGGGCATTTCTCAAGTGGAATGGATTGGACTGACAGCGCTCTGAAAAGTGCACAGACATATGCACCACTAAATCATTATTATGTTTTAAGTGAACAAACCGTTTGGGGGGAAAACAGTTTGGGATGTGTGTCAGTATCAGATCCGCACATTACTGTAGGTCTATTCACCTTATTGTTCCCCTAAGAGCGGACGCAGGCCATTTGTTATTTTTATGGGTCTGACTTCCGGTCTCATTCGTGTCCAGGTATTTTTAGCTGTACAAAACAACCCTCTACGGACACCTTGGCAATAGAATCACCATTGGCTAGTAAATTTTTTTTGTTTACTTGTCAGACTAATATTAAATATTTGATATACTATAATATGTAATAAATAAATAAATAAATAAATAAATATATATATACAGTGGGTACGGAAAGTATTCAGACCCCCTTAAATTTTTCACTCTTTGTTATATTGCAGCCATTTGCTAAAATCATTTAAGTTAATACACACACTCACCGGCCACTTTATACTGTATGTAAAGCTAATGTTTGTAAAATGGCACAGCTTTTTAAATATCTGATAGTACACTTAACATCAGTCAGTCAAGCATTATAATATGATATTATGTTAATTAAGCATTATATGGTGATATAACTTAAGTAATTAGAATAACCATGTATGAATGCATATTTGTCATTTTAACTGAACTTAGGACTGGTGTTGGTGCTTAAGATAATGTTTGTCATTTAGTGTTTCTATTAAAAAAAGTTAAAACAAAAACAAAAAAAATACTACTGATAAGGTAACAATACTACTACATATTCTACTACTAATAACAATGTAAAACGCACTAAGGATTAATGAGCTGCTGGGTTCATGAATATTAATCAGGTTGTGTGCGTTCGCTCGAACTGATTCGCTGAAATCAGAACAGGGACGATAATAGGTGAGCACCAGCCAATGAGATTGCTGTTTGCGCATTAGTTCCGCCCACTACCGGAGAAAGCGGCAGTTCTTAAAAGCTGAAGAACTCCAAAGGAACTCCGTTAATTTGAGAGGAAAATACAACAAAGAATATCGTTTACATGTAGCACGTCAATTCTGTATGTTATGTAAGACTCACTCGCTCTCGCTCTCTCTCTTTGCGTGTGTGAGAAAGCGATGAAGAGTCGTGCTCCTTTACACTAGAGTTTACGGTGCGTCAAATACAGGTGCGCTGCGCATCCATTGAGATGAACTGAAAAGCAGCACAGATTGCTTGACGGAGAGTGAAACTCTGAAGCGCTCAGTCAGAGTGCTCTGTACTGTATGTTCTGAAAATATATCTGTGCTAATCATATACTCAGCCTCCAACTCACACACTGGCGAGTAAAATCTGAGAATTTATTAGCCATTGGCT